CAATGGTGGAGCTGCCCCAAAGCATTTCCGCTTCATGCCTCCCCACATGTTGGGTGTAATATTGATAAGCTGCTATAGAATGCACATTACCTCTGATATGTGCAAAGGGTTTATGCCAAAGCTACCACTACTGTAGGTGTTTGTGAATGCGGAAAGGAGCACTTAATACAGTGGTACCTCGCAAGACGAATGCCTCGCAAGACGAATGCCTCGCAAGACGAAAGGGTTTTTGGTTTTTTGAGTTGCTTCGCAAGACGAATTTCCCTATGGGCTTGCTTTGCAAGACGAAAACGTCTTGCAAGTTTGTTTCCTTTTTCTTAAAACCGTTAATACCCAGGGTGCATTGCTTGAAGAGGTGCAGTTGCACGCGGTGTGGTAGCCTTTTTTGAGGTTTTTGAAGACTTTGGTGATTTTTGAAGCTTTTCCAAAACTTCTTTTGAAACCGTGCTTCGCAAGACAAAAAATTTGCAAGACAAAAAAACTCGCAGAACGAATTAATTTCGTCTTGCGAGGCACCACTGTAATAATAATAATAATTTATTATATATACCCCGCCCATCCGGCTGGGTTTCCCCAGCCACTCTGGGCGGTTTCCAACACTTAAACTTCACAAGTGGGAATTGTGGTGTCGCCACCAGGTAAATTTTTTCTCAAGCGGCCTCACCCTCTATACATAATGGTGAGACCAGCCCTGAGATCATTAAAGAGGAGAGCACAGATGATTAAAATGCATGAACAACAACAACTCCTCAAGACTTTTCAGTTCAGAGAGCAGAAAACTGACGGATATATCATGCCACAAATTGTGCAGAAATGGAAAGGCGTTGTTTATTATTTTACTTGTTACAAGGAGCAAACCAGGAATCATGTTTAAAACAACATCAGCAAGAAGGAGCACTTTTTCACAGAATGCACAGCTGACCCCCTATAGCACATAACGCCATGATGTGTTATAAAGGCCATCGTTCAATACATCTTTCTTCCCAGGCTCTCCACACACCTCTTACTGACAGAAGCTGCGAGTTAACAGATTATTGTAGAATTGCTTTTTATGCCCCTCAAAACAACCAGTGCTGTGATTATCTGTGACAAGGTTGTTGACCTGTAGGTCTATCTCAACTAGTAAGACTATTTCATATGAGTTACCTGCTTCAACCTGATCTGAGCATCTAGAGGAAGAAAGAGAATGTTGTTCTCTATTAGGGTTGCCGGCAACTGCTGATTTTTAAAGGATCAGCCATTCTTCCAGAGCGTCACAGTTCGACAGAATCTAAGTTGTGCCATCTGTTTGAGAATTCTACAGATCTGCAGATCACCTAACTTGTCAGTGCTGAGAGAACATCACTAACTAACCTACACCAGACTTTTACCCCTTGGCTTTCCTAAACTCAGTTCCCAGATATACACGTTATTCTATGATGTGACATTTAGTTATAATTTCAGTTTCTGTGAGGGTGTATAGGAGCCTGGGGTCACATCTGGAAATCTAAGAAACTGTTTTGGGCATCACAAAATACCTATTTCAAAGAAGAAAAATTGGCGAATCTCAGAATAATCTCTCCAAGTAAGTGTCAAAACACCACACTCCCAAAGTAAACAAACCACAGACCAAAAAACCTAGGAAAGAGCAGGCAACACTCCTTTCCTTGCAAATATGCAACCTCCTTTCAACTGAACAACTAAAAAAATCCCAAAACCCCTCGATTAATAAAAAAGAGAGAGTCTGAAGGTGTGCTGAGCATGTACAGTAGAAGTTTGTAGCAAGAAAGCCACTATGATCCTCAGCACAGTCTCCATAAATTGTTCATTAAAACCATGGCTGTATAAGACAGAGGTCTTCAACTTTTTTGAGTCCACGGCTCCCTTGACCAACTACATTCTTTCTGAGGCACCCCTGTGGGGCTCAAGAGCCCAGTTATGTCACCCTTGTCTGTAGAGCTAGCAGCCTCTCGTCCTTTTCCAAACACCCTCCCTTGTGGAGTGTTTCCCCAGCCTCCTCTTCTCTCCCCTCTCCTTGGGAGTCCTCCGGGCAGCCGCTGCTGCCACTCCTGGTCTCTGAGCTGCCCTCCTGTCCCAAAGAGAGGTGTCTCTTCACACTGCCCCACAGGGGCCTGGAAAACACCCCCTGGCCAACCCCAGACACACCATTTGCCTGGGGAGCTTGTGGCCAGGGCTGCTGCAACAAACAGCTGTGCAAGCCTTTGGGAGGCAGAGATACGAGAGGGCGTCAGAGGAGGGAGGGAAAGAAAGAAAGAGGGACAGAGGCCAGTGTCGCCCACGGCACCCTGACCATCATTCAAGGCACCCCAGGGTGCCATGGCACACTGGTTGAAAACCACAGGTATAGGAAATAAAAAGTAGAATTACATGTGGCAAGATGTTATTTTTCATTTTTTATCTGTTCAGAGACACTTTTACATCTTGACGATAAAGCACTGTGGAGCAGTATGCAACCCAGTGGTTGTTGGTGCCCACTGATACTGGTAAGGCAGAAGGCGGGCATGTCAATAGTGGGTGGAGCCAGAGCCAATGACTGGCAGAGCCAAGTGATTCGATTTTTCTCCCCATCCTCCTCCACACTGAGTCCTAGAAGGAAGCTGAGACTAAGGAGGAGGTAGCTGACAGCTAGTCCCACCCCCTGGAATGGTTGTAAGTAAAAATTGGGGGTAAGGGCAGAGTGAGGTTGCTTGCATAGTGCTCTGTTGGCCCCTACAGACCAGCCTCCACTCAGACTATAACTACGCATTGGAAATTGGGAGTTCATATACTTTCTAAGTTATGGTTATATCAGAAAGGTAACTCCTTTTGTTTGTTGTCCTAGGTGGAGCTTTAAGCCTGATCCAAAGCAAAAGATCCATAGCTCATTTACAAATTCTACACACCATGGAACTTGTAAATACAGTTGTACCTCAGGTTAAGTACTTAATTCGTTCCGGAGGTCCGTTCTTAACCTGAAACTGTTCTTAACCTGAAGCACCACTTTAGCTAATGGGGCCTCCTGCTGCCGCCGAGCCGCCAGAGCAGGATTTCTGTTCTCATCCTGAAGCAAAGTTCTTAACGTGAGGTACTATTTCTGGGTTAGCGGAGTCTGTGACCTGAAGCGTATGTAACCTGAAGCGTATGTAACCCGAGGTACCACTGTAAAGGTTATTTATTGTAGGCATCAAATATTTTCTGCCTTTTCCTGGTAAAATTCCCCAAGGCTACTAGTGAACTGCATTCACAAGGTGGCACTTGAAAGTTTATGGTATATTGTCATATATGAAGGGGTTTGTTTTTCACATAGGATGCTCCTCAACCTCAGAATTCAGATTTCAAAGTTTCCAGCAGTCCCTGAAGCACACTGACCTGTGTGACATCAGAGCAGCTAAGCCAATGGCAGCCAGAAGGGTCACAACTTGCTTGCCAATATGGGCTGTTGTAGAACACCTGAGTAGATCAACCAATGGCATCAAGGGAGCCACAGCAAGCAGGGGAAACAGAAGGAAATCAGGAGCAACAGCAAGGGAAGACTCACGAGGGCTGTTCAGGACCATCTGAGAAAGGCTTAATGGTGTAGCCCTTCATATGTAAGCGATTGGACCGTGAAGTCCCGGGTGGCTTGTGGACGAAATGTTCCGACACGCTGCCAAGAAATAATTGAAATTCCTATACTTTAGTCCATCTCACTCCTCCTCTACTGTCATTGCTCTTCGGGGGATACACCCATCTCCAGAACAGCGTGGCTGGATCTAGGACAGATCCGGTGATTTGCCATGAAGAAAGAAGTAATGAAAGCACTCATTAGAGGGAACCCTATTAGACCAGGAAATTTTTTAATCCCTCTCACACAGTGGTAGAATGTTGCCAGCCTGAAACTCTTAAATCAAAAGCACTTTCTGAGTGTAAAGAGGAGTGACTCCTTTCTGCAGCTTCCTTGGTACCATCCCTCTGCCATAATGCTGAGGCCTTTTGCTTTCTTTAAATGCAGGGGTCTAACTAATTACTGGCAGGAAGTGCTCTTTTTTTATTTCATTGGTATGCAAATTAACAGAAGCAGAAAAATATTCTAAAGAAACTGTTACAATATCTGTCCGCAGCCTGATGGCCAATTAGAAAATGGTATTGTATCAAGCCTTATGGCTGCAAACTGTTCTCATTTGAATGGCTTGAAGTTGAGTTTTCATGGGGGCTGTGACTACTAGGCCCCTTAGAAGGAGGGGAAAGGTATTTCAAGTGAGGAATTCTAAATTAAGAAACATTTTCTGATTAAGCCAAAAAGAAAAGAAACAAAGAAAGGAAAAAACTAACTTGAGGATTTGCCTGTTTTATACTTACCACCAGTAAGCTCTGCAAAACACACACACACACACACACACACAACCCCACAAAACTTTATTTGGCCAATTTACAGGGTATCCTCAGAAGTTAGGACCAGGATTGTGTGATACATGTCACTTTATTCTGCAGACACATTCCAAATAAAGGTAAGGACACTGAAAGCATCTGTGTTGTATATATTAATGGGACGAAAGTATACAGAATTTCCTCTGGAAGATTGCATCCAACATCTGGCTTTCCAGTGGAGTAAACAGTATAAAGAAAGCTTAAAGATTTTTATAATGGATGGTTGAAAAGGGCTACATACTGTGAATACAATATATTGTTTTTATACAATTATTCAGTAGATGTCTTGCCGTGAATCAGCCCGCTTGGGCTGTGATCTTACACAGGAAGCCCCATGGAGCGGATAGTTCTATAATATACGATGCCTCTCTCCAGTGAGTTCGTCCACGTCCCTCTACCAAGCATGCCCAACTAAGTCTGTCCTAAACCTACTTCCTTGGAAGTAAACCCCGCTGAAGCCAGGGGGCTTACTTCTGAGTAAGCGCGGCTCGGTGCACTGGAGAAGGCAAGTCGGGGCCAACGCGCCGGCGCACCTGCAACGCGGGTTGCTCCGAGGCGCCGCGCGTAAAAGGGAGCAGGCGAGCTGCTGCTGCTGCTTCGCCCGGGCCGGCTCTTCCTCCCTTCCGCGGCGGGGCGGAGAGCGAGCGGGAGGCGGAGCCGGGGAGGCCGCGCGTTGCTGCCGCCGCCGGCCTCCAGGAGGGGACCAACGAGGAGGAGGTGAGTTCCCCCCCTCTGGGTGGGGTGAAGAGCCAAGGCCGCGCGAAGAGCCGAGCGGGGCGGGAAGGGGAAGGGCGCCGGGCGCGCGGGCCGCCTCGGCGCCGCAGCTGCACAGAGCGAGGCGGGCAGGCGAGAGAGCCGAGCAGCGGGCCCAGGGCGCGCACAGGCCGGCGGGCTGCGAAGAGCCGCCTTGGCGCGGCCGGGGACGGGCTGGAGGCGGGGGCACGTTGCTTGGGCGGCCCCCTCGGCGCTGGCGAATATGCATATGAAAGGAGAGCGAGGGAGGCAGCGGCGGCGGCGCGGGGGGAAACGCCAGCCTCCCGGGAGGCGCCTCTCCTCTGCCAAGACCTGCAGGGACCCCTGTCGTCGGGCCCAGCAGTTACTGACTGGCCGAACATCCGAGGTCGACGGGGCGCCCGCGAGGCTCCCAAGCCAAGCTCCCTCCCCGAGAAACCTCACTCCTCTGCCCCTTACCGGGCGCTGCCTCTTCGTGGGCTGCGAGGCGCGGAGGTCTGCTGCATTCAGCGATGAAGCAGGCTTAAGTTGCAAGAAGGAAAAGAGTGTTCCGGAGCACGTGCAGAGTGCTTTTCCGTGTTAAGCACCAACACCCACATACTGCGAGGCTTCCTGGCAAGCTCGAGGTTTAATCGCTCATTTTAGAAATAAAAAGCATTGCCAGGGGGCGGGCATTGAAGGACAATAAACCTCCGCAGTGGAAAGCGGGGGTGAGTTTTTATGGGGAGGGAGAGTAGTTTTGAGTGGGAGAGCACCTGCTTTGAAGGGTCCAGGCAGACCCTCTTGCAGATCCATAGAGGGCTGTTCAGCTTCCAGCTTCTGAGGCCCCTAGTAGTAGTAGACATAATTATAGTAGTAGTAGTAATATAATAAGAGGAAGACACACAAAAGTAAGTTGCTAAAAAGGAGTGAGTGGATTGTTTATATAATCAACTAGTCTGAAGAAACATTCATCACTGTCCAATCTTGTGCTGTCAGAACTGATACATTTTACTAAAATGACAAAATCTGTGTCTGTTGACAAACACACATACACACACGTTACCAAATCACATCTCTTACTTGCTAAAAAAATTCAGCTCTAAGCTGAGAGTGGGTGTCACATTTTGGTGTGATGTGCATAGTCGCAAAACTTCTCAAATGCCAAAAAATTTACAAGTGTCAAAATGTGAGTTCTCCTTTGAGCTTGAGGCTTAGACCAAATGGCCCTCCTGGCTCACTCTCTGCTTGGTTCTGGTCTAAAGTTCAACCCCAGGTGTCTCCAGTTAGAAGGATCAGGTAGTAGTGGGTGATGGGTAAGACCCGAATAAGACTCTGGAAAGCAGGAGCCAGTCACAGTGCTTGCTGAGCTTGAGAAATGGTCTGGGCTGTTAAGGCAGCTTCCTGCTTACTGTTTATGTAGTAGAAGAAACCAAACACTGCTGCCCCAACCTTTCTCATGCTGGGTTTCTTAGAACATGTTAAAGGGCATTTGCTGAAGGTTTCAGTTTTCTAAATTTATGGAGATTCTCCTTTTACCAGTTAGTAGGCACAGATTCCTGTAGACAGAATGCAGAACCTAGGTAAAGGTAAAGGGACCCCTGACTATTAAGTCCAGTCGTGGACGACTGGGGTTGCGGCGCTCATCTCGCTTTATTGGCCGAGGGAACCGGCATACAGCTTCCGGGTCATGTGGCCAGCATGACTAAGCTGCTTCTGGCGAACCAGAGCAGCACACGGAAACGCCCTTTACCTTCCCGCCGGAGTGGTACCTATTTATCTACTTGCACTTTGCTTTCGAACTGCTAGGTTGGCAGGAGCAGGGACCGAGCAACAGGAGCTCACCCCGTCATGGGGATTCAAACCGCCGATCTTCTGGTTGGCAAGCCCTAGGCTCTGTGGTTTAGACCACAGCGCCACCCCCATCCCTTTGAGAACCTCTGTAGACCAGCCCAAAATGGTGTGGTGGAGTGGAATTCTAAAAGATTCCATTTCGTCGGGAACTGATTCATGAGACAAAATCTGGTCTGCTTGGGTAAGAGGGTTGAATATTCAGCATTTTGCATGTGGCGGAGCAGAAATGTGATTGCTGGTTTGCAACTCAGCACAACAAAGTTGCTGAAAGTGAACTGGGAGGCGGGTAAAGCACACAGGCAACTTGCAAGCTTAAAGTTTGTTGGCACAGTCCCAGTGCCATTTTTCAGCAAATAGCAAATGCACAGACCCATTGATTCCATAGCCACAATATTCTATGTTGAGGCATCCTGATTCAGAGCTTTTAATGCTGCTTTCTTTGTTAAAGGCTCTCATGTAAATTTATGTGGATACATGTTGTTGGGCAGGTAATAAATATTAGTGGGCCTTCAGATAATAGTTCTTGTGTGCGTTATTTTGGAGATTATCCTGTCATGTTTCTTATGACATGGAGGAAGTGGCCTTCATTGTGAGAACTAAGAGGCTGCTGACCCAAACGGAAACGGAACAGCAGTAGAAGCCCTGCTCACTTGACATAAGATGTATTCATGCCTAGGAGTGGGATTATAAACACACCTCCCATCCATGTATTCGTACACAACTATAACAGACCTATGCGTAGACCTGGAACACTACAAAATGCATAGAGAGAGCCCACATACATTCAAGTAGTGCAAGTGGAGGTTCTGTTCACAACTTGGAGTTGTGGAGTGTGGAGAGCTGATACAATCCATTATGCCCCCCCCCCAATTGGATATGTTGCATGAATAGGGGAAGAAGAATGCACATTTTTATTATTTGTAATGCTTTGTTGAAGGAAATAAAGACTGAAAACTGCAAAATGGGTTGTGCTCTGAATGCTGGTGATTCAGTACCATAGTTTGGCTTAGGAAACACAGTCCATAAAATTGTGTTTTCTGATATGGAGACCGTGTCTCAAGCCATGCATAGTTAACATGGTGACCAAATGAAGTTACAGTTTGTTCCCAAGGTGCATATTAGGAAGCAGATACCCTCAGCTGCCTTCTGTGAATCCTTAAAAAAAAATCTTTTACAAATAATACTTTTTATGTTTGAGTTAATGCGACTATTAGCCCTGTTTGTTTCGTTTTGGGAAAGGAGGGGACAGAGAAATGTTATGGAGGAATCTTCTGTTTGCACTCAAGATGTTGGGAGGGTTCTTGTAGGTCCACCTTCCAGTTTGATGCAGGAAACCCAGAGCTAGAATAACCACAACAGATACACTCTCTGCTTGAAAACCTCAAATGCGGAGGAACCCACCACTCCTCTAGGTAATTGGTGCCATTACTGAATTGCTATAACTGTCAGGATCTTTCTGTTAATGCTTAACCAAAGCCTACCCCCTTGTAACTCAAACCCCTGTAGATCTTGTTCTGCCGTCTGGAGCATCCGAGAACAAGGGTTTGCCCTCTTTTATTTGACAGCCTTCAGGTATTTGAGGAGTACTATCATGTCATTCCTCAGTCGTCTGCAGGCTATAATCATGTGCATGTGGTTGTGCAACTGGACATAAATCAGCTAGCTTTGGCCATACAAGTAAAAAAACAAAACAACCCCTCTTAAAATGAATCCATATTGAGGGGAGTGTCTCTGTTTCAACTGAGTGATACTTGGCAAGTGTGCACAGATCTGTTAACACATAACACTGTGACAATGGGAAAAGCAGACTGGAGGGAAATATTTGAGGTGTAAATATATGCACTTTCTTCAAGGGAAGAGGGGTGGCGTTTGGAAGTTTCTATCCTGCACATAAATAGTTCTTGGATGCTAACCACACATTGTTGGCTTCGATCTTAGCGCAGTGGTCAAGAATAAAGGAGAAGCAGATTGCAGCCTAGTGTATTTCAGTGGCTTGGTATAATTCAATAGAGCTGTTTTATTGGACTCTATTAACCTGGTTAACCTTAAGCCTTAGCCATGACAGGAGTTTCATATAAGAACCCATATGTAAAGTGCAATATTGAATTTTAATTAGAGCTTTCAAGACATGAAGTGGAATGAATTCTACCCAATTCTTCCTCACTTCTAATGTACATTTCTTCCCTTAGAGAAGCTTAGGCTTGATAAAATACTGTGTGGTAGGGAGAAAGTATATTTTCACGTGTCGGCATAATTTTAGTTAGTTTGGAAAAGCACAATGAGAACAAATTCATTTGTAAAAGTTGATCTCGGATTTATGTTCCATTTCAGTTTGCGATTTAATCACACTTGTATGTTTACCAGTTTGGCACCCAGTCTGGACACCAATTGGTGTTGGTAAGGATTTTTGTGCAATTTTTTTACACCCCCCCCCCCCAGAATTTTAAATACAAAACTTTTAATAACTTCTTGGGATTTAGAACAATGTACACAAAGTGTTATAGACGTTGGCTAGAGCTCCTGTTTTAGAGTGCCTACTGAAAGTTTTATGTACTTCAGAAAAATTGCTGTTCAGTGCAACCTGAGAATGATTGGTATAAGCTAAATTTTTTAATAAAGTTTTTGCAAAAAAACCCCTCTAATTTTAAGAAGTTGACTGTGGCCTGAGCTGGAAACTTGAATTACCGTCCTAAACTGCTGCTGAATCAGTGCAATGTCGTATCTTATTCCTAGTAGGTATACTGTGCTCTGCCAAGTTCGTTTCATGTTTATGTTGTACATGGAAGGTGTCAGATCCCATGATGAGCATGGGAGTAGGCTTGGCACTACTGTCACTGTTGCCACCCATGTCATGTTCCCCCTTACTACTTGCATGTGACTTGCAGAAGACGTTTCTGCAACTTTTGTACAATTGCTCTCTTTCTCATTTGGTCTCTAGAGCCATCATTGCACCTCATTCTGTCTATGTTTTGACTTGCAACATAGATCGGATCTAAAGCTTTAGGGTCCTTTTTTGAATTTACATTCCTCGGTTTTCATAGCTGGACAAGCCACTGTAGAGTAGTGTGTTGGACTAGAACCTGGGAAACCAGGGTTCAAATTCCCCACTCAGCTATGAAGCTCACTGGGTGACCTCACTCACTCACTCTGCC